CACTCTCTGACTTTTTAAAGAATACAGATCTTAGCATTCGAAAAGAATGTATCAGCCAATGAAAATCCATACCGATTTCTCGGTAAGCCTCGATTTGATATTACAAAAATTAAATAGGAATCAGACCAGACTCTCGCTCGGGCAAAGTCTCGAGAGCGAGAGTCTGGGGAAAACGAGACTAAGAATATAATGTACAAGGAATTTCAAAAGATTTATTCTAAACAACTGGTTGTTAGAAATGCATAGGGAGACAATAGAATAAAGTGTTAACAACTGCTTGGTAAAAATACCAAAAGAATTTCATGAGATATATTCGTAACAAATGGTTTTATAAATGCAAAGGAAGACTATTAGAACAAAGTCTTAACAAATGCTTGATAAGAATGCTAGATGTAAATCCATGGAGTCCTTTCAAAATGTTCTAGAAAACTAGAATAAAAATTTCATGATCAAACTTCCACGACCCGGCTTAGTTTTCAACGGACTAAGATCTAAATTCAACACCTTTGGTCTCAGTATTCAACGTTAAAAAATGACCCCCGGGTCAATTTTCAACCCGAGTCAAATAACGTTACACCTGTCGGCAGGGGATGTTCACTCCTCCATGGCACCTGATCCCACTTCTGATGTTTTGGAGGTCCGTGTTTGCTCTGCTCTTGTTTTGTATTGTTTTTGTATTGTATGGACTTTGATATTGAATACTGTTCGTAGCATGCTCTACGTATGAGCGATTTCTAAAATGAGGTAAGTTATCGATAAACAAGTTGATGAAACAAGAATATCAGACGTCTCGTTTAAATTCATCATTTCATAAGTTCTATGGTCGATACAATGACCTTGTCAGCAAATACAATTTATCATTGAGTCAAATGCTGACTGACGTTTTTCATACTAATTGTTAGTCCATTATTTATACACTGAATTGACGACGGAATCATGACAAGGAGTGACCGTTGTGACTGGTCGGTAGGGGATGCACACTCCTCAATGGCACCTGATCCCACCTCTGATTTTTTGGTGGTCCGTGTTTGCTCTGCTACTGTTTGGTATTGTTCTATGGACTTTTGAACTGATTACTGCTCGTTATCTCTATATTTTTCATTCAGTTGCATTCATGATTTAAAAAGCCTATGGTTTGCAATTTCCATAACCACAGATCTGAGCCTATATTCTGATATCCAATTCTCAACATTTAGATATATCGACGACGCATTGTCAATTAACAATGGTAATTTCCGTTCCTAAGTCGATACGATATATCCTGATGAGATTGAGATAAAAGATACCACAGAGTTTCATACTTGGACATTTTACTTGAAAAAGACGTTAATGGTAATCTAACAACCAAGCTATATGATAAACGTGATGACTCACTTTCCTATCGTCAACTTCCATTACTTATGCAGTAATATAACTTCAACAACACGGAGTATATATATCTTAGTTGATTCGATACGCAAGAGCATGCTCAACGTATGAACAATTTCTAAAACGAGGTAAATTATTGACAAGCAAGTTGATTAAACAAGAGTAACAGCCGTCTCGTTTAAAGTCATCATTTTGTGAGTTCTATGGTCGATATAATGACCTTGTCAGCAAATACAATTTATCATTGAATACAAATATTGATTGACGTTTTTCATATTAATTGTTAGTCTATTATTTATACACTGAATTGACGACAGATTTTTCCGTTATTTCCTGATCATGACAAGGAACACAAGGCGGATGTGACCGGTCAGCAGGGGATGCTCACTCCTCCATGGCACATGATCCCACCTCTGATGTTTCGGAGGCCCGTGTTTGCTCTGCTCCTATTTTGTATTGTTTTATGGACTTTGAGATTGAATACTGTTCGTTATCTCCATATCCTTCTTAAAGGTAGACTACAAATGCTTCTTAACAATAAATATTTTAAAAAGGACTAAAATAATTATGATAACAAAGAAACAGAATGAGTATTGTTACATGAACGCTTTCCAAGCGGTTAATACGCCCGATTAGAAATGGTGACCAGATAAATGTTTGCGAATGTCAGTGGTTATCACGATGAAATTTTACTGTTATAAAAGATTTTTCTAGTTTCTAAAATTAAGCTAATGTTTTAGTATTAATATTTAGTTTCATATTCTGATCTTTTCTTCTGCTTATGAACCTTATTCTTCTATGGACAATATACCGGGATTTGTAGTTTGAAATAAGTTGTGTACATTTGTATTCCCAGTAGATATTTGGGAAAGTCTTCTATTCCAGCCACTGTCATGCGTGTACCGATTCTCAAAAGCCGAGGTATAAACCGAAATCTGTCCCACGATTGTTTCAGGTTGATAAATGAATTGTTCTCTTAAGTCTTTAAGCAATGCTACACAATCTTGGACATTGAACTTGCGTCATATACCGGTTTATTCTGCTGTTCAGTTATAATTTGCCACATTAAACATGAACATGTATTCCATTAATAAAAAAATCGATCCTGTTTTTTTTTGTCAATGCAGTCATGCAGTATGAATTGTACATATATCTACTTCAAAGAAAACGACTAGTTCAAATAACTGAATCTGGCCCATGTGTATTTGTAGCTCTACACACTACAATTTTTTGTTGAGAAATTAAAGAAAAAGATATCATCTTCTCGGAAACTAAATTTCTGGATGTTATAAAGAGTCAAGGCCATTGGAGAGAATTACGAGGTATGTTAAGGACATAATCAACACACCTTACCTACTGATAATTCTTCAAGTTATTCTTAATTTAAGATTATAGTGTCATTAGATGTTCATAGCGAAAAAGTCAATATGCATCACCAGGGATTTTGAAAAGATATGATCATGAGTTGAGGAAAATTTTTGTTAAATTTAAATAAAAATATGCAAAAGTTATAGAATATATGTTCCACGTGTTTGGTTTTTCAAAACTTGTTGTAGAAGAAGTGTACAACAGCATAGATAAAGATGTTAAAAAGTAGCCCACAATTCGTTTAAGCATCGGAACTCTTCAATTCCAGCAAAAAATACAATAAATATTACATGGCGTTCGGGAGAAGTGTTAAGCGTCGAGACTGTCAAGCCTCTGAAAAGAAACCAGAACTCTAGAACAAGATTAATTGATGCAAAACATGAAAACGATCACAAAACGCGTATCATTTCAGTATTTTATAGAATTTTTGCAAATATATTTTCCAAGGAATAAAAAAATCAAATTATTAAAAAGCAAAAATTACATTACCAAGCATGGTACACTTAATTTAAAAGCTGTTCCTGTTTTATTAACGCATGGAAAGTGCCATTTTTGCAACTGTAATTATTCATGTATTCAAAACGAAATTAACTACCTTTAAAAACGTTAAAAACTAATATATATTACGTAATTACATTACAGAAACTTGCTACGTTTTCCTTTTATAGCTTTTGCACACCCACCTTGGGGAGCAGTTCATACATTTACTTTTTATAAGAAAATAAATTAATGAATATCTGCTGAAAAGTGAAAATTAAATTGAAACGTAGAAAAGCCATAAGGAGAAGGTTAAAGAGAATTTTTAAAAGGTTTCATTCAATAAAGAATTATCTCATCGAGACAATGAAAAAAATGCCTCAATTTCCCATGTGCACATTCTAAAACAACTGAATAACGGAGCGTGGAAGAAAGAAAAAAAAATATATTCGTTTTAGATTCAAACATTTGACATCAAAGTAAACACGTTTTTTTCAACGTCAACGCCTCTGTCATTATGCTTGGCTTTGTCAATTTTAATTTAATAATCCAAGATGTTAATAAGGACCTTAATTCACTTATTTTAAAAGAATCCTTAAAACGGAACCCTTATCTTTCAACTAGCGTCATGATTTTATAAATATTAGTGTATGAATTCTGTGGAAGATTGGCGATGGAAAAAAAGTAGACCTTGACACTTTCTCAGAATTGATTAATGTATCGCGGGTGTATTTTAAAATCTCTTATAAAGCAATTAAGGGTAATATGATAATCCTTCTACAAGTAAGTTTAGTAAGTAAGTTAAGTAAGTTTAATAATTCATCTATGTGAAAAAATAAGACAATTACAAAATCACTATGTAAATATTTGTCCCAGCTGAAAAAAGCAGGTAAAAACATTATCTTTGTAAGGTTAGATATTAATTTGTATTTCAGCATGTTTAGAGAAACTGAGATTTAATTCTACAAGTAATAATCCAACTTATACCCATGTACCCCCTTACTAAGGAAGAGATTTTTTTTCAAAATAGTATGTCAGTTTTGAAAAATTTTTATACTCCCAACAACTAAAATAAATTTGAATTAAAGTCAATTATCCATCGCTATCAGATTCCGATATATCTTTGAAACAAAGAACAAACAAAAATTCATAGCGGGTTCAGGTAAGTGTTCCACAAATCCTCTTTTTTCTTTTCACTAAAACATTAACATCAGTGAAAGGGAACCTTCAGTGCAACAATATATTCGAGAAATTCCAAATAACTTTTGGAAAATCTGAAATCACAAAATTGTTTGAGACACCTCCAAAAATTAAATCATTTATGTTATATTTTATGCATACGTATTGTACATGTACTCTGATATTTTCACTGCATGTAAATTTCTAGTCAGTCTCTAGGGGATCACACCTGTACCTTTAACCTATGTACATGTTTTAGCCTGTATTGTTTAATATTAATTGACCCCCCTTAATGGTTTGTTTAATGAAATGTAATAATCGAAAAAAAACTGCATATCTATGTTTGGTAATTTTTGATGCACTAACAGACTAATAATTGGCAAAGGTGGCATAAATACTGCATATTTACAGTACTTTTCTTTATAAACAAAAGCATGAACACAATTTTTATTACTAGTTGTGTAGCTTTGTTCTTCATAAGCATCCCATTACCACAAGAAATTATATTTAGCCTACTTACATGTTCATTTACGCCAATCCAAGGCTAAACTATATTTTCATTAACCGCATTGCATCTGCGCCAAGTTTACGGTCACTGGTGAAACAACATTATGGAGTTATATGATCACTTTTATCGGATTTTCAATTCTTCTGTGCTTGTGTTGTTTTCTTGTATGGGTAAGCGGTTATTTGCTGATTGACAAATTTCAGATTTCTAACTAGAATTATTGTATCTAACTTCAAACACGGTCTTGTATTTTGCTCTCTAAACGCATACAGGGTGATCCAAAATATGTGTCTCTTACACTCGTTTTCTATCACTCTACCTCTCTCTGTGTATACAAGTACAGCGTAATGTTGTTTGACATATTCTTAATTTGAAAATATTCTTTGTTTTTTGTGTTCTGACCACTTGTAATATTGTTGCTTATATATTTTATTAGATCAAGTATTGTTTTCAATGTTTGAGGCGGTATTGTAAATAAACTAAGTCGGAGTAACCCGCATGTGAAGCGGTGATGATGCTGGTAAAACCATGTGCCGCAACTCATTAATGTCAAAACCTTTTACGTATCAACTGCGCTTCTAAAGAGCATACATAGATCACTCTTAATACCTCTGCAAAAATGCTTCTCGATCAAAGGGTTTTTATTCAAGATACGGGATATAGATATTATACTTACAGAAAACTTTACATGATTGAATTTTACAGTAAATAGCGTCACTTATTACCGTATTATAAGTGGCATCAGATAAAATAAACCATGAAGATAATAAAAAAAAATGATAACAAAGAATTGAAAAATTGGGGTATGAAATTTCACTCAAAGCTAATGACTACACCAGATTATTGTTTATGTATTTAATAATCATTCTGAAAAATCTGTATCATAGTCATCTCCCTCGGGAAATGATGCATTAAGGTCAAGATCTAGTAAATGACCTTAGACTAATTTTTTGCTGCCTAAGTTTTCTAGTTGGTGGTCTTACAAATAAGGACTGAAGATTGTTTAATTTGACATTCTTAACAGTGGGATGAAAGAAACGGGAAATTTTAAACTGATGATAGCGACTTTTCTAAATATAGACTTCGGTTCGCGGACAAAAGAAAAAGGGAAACTAAAATGAAATCAAATTCAAATATAAATTCAGATATAAACTTCAAAGTAAAAAACAGTTGGAATGTAAGGAAAAGTTGACCTTTTTGTTTTGTACGACCTTGAAATGACAAATGCAGAACAGATATAAATAAATAATTTGCAAAAACAATAGTGGTTGTGTAAATTATAAATTTTTAAATTATTTATTGGAAGAAAAGAGCAACCTGAAAAGGTGGCATGGTCTTTTCTTATAAACATATATTTTTTAACATTTTCCATTTTTTCTTTTCATAATAAAAAATCAAAAAGTTTTCATCATCTTAAATTCATTTTTTTTATTTGATTATTGTGTCTAATAGAAAAATTAACTACAATATCATTTTTATAACATTTAGATGTGGTCACGGCCCTTGAATTCAACGTGACGGTACCATTCGGAGCAGAACTCCACCCGGGAGACCGATTCACGGCGTCCTGTAACATCTGGGGATATCCCCCCATTGACGTCGTCACAGATCTGACGGTGCACTGGAAATTCCAGGATAGCTATATTTGTGTTTTTGGAGATAAAATGGAAGATGTTTCTGAAAAATATCAATGTTCCTCAGTAACGGAATATGACCAAGAAAGCTTTATTTTATCAATCTCAGGTAAATGTTCGATTATTTACTGTAGATTGTTGTGTGCGCAGTTTTCTTGTGGCCCTTTATTTGAACAAATTGATCAATGTTCCTCACTAACAAAAAGTGGCCCTTTATTTGAACAAATTTGAATCGCCTTCTCCCAAGGATACTCCGTGCAAAATTTTGACCAACTAGACATCTAGAACTGAGAAAATTTATTTTTAATTTCATAAAAGTCAACTACAAGTTTAAGCATTTTTTATTTTTATATTAATTTTTCTATTTATATTGTAAGAACAGAACAGTATATTAACTTTTTTATTAATACGTTTTATAAAATGTCTAACATTCACAAACGTTTTTAATAGCAATAAATGTTGATTAATTTAATTTTGATATTGAAAATAAAGTATAATTTTAATCATTATGAAAATATTCTACCCGCTTGACAAGTACTTTCAGTACTTTGATTTCTACCATTAGCGGTGTCTTCAGAAGACAACGGTAATTACACCTGTGAAGTCAAGGAAAAGAAGAAAACATCACCGATGCAATCCCTAGTAGAGCTTATAGTTGTTGGTAAGTTCTGTGATGATTGCATGATTAATTGTATATTGTTTATCGCCCCTCTCGAGAATTTTTCACTCATATGGAGACGCCACCACCTGCCGGTGGAGAGCTACAAATTTTGTCCTATTCTCCACACTTAGGGCCTTTGAACAAGGAGGATTTTTTTCTTGTCAGCACCCACTGCTACACGGGAGCTCAGTTTATACCGTCTCATCCGAAGGACCGGTCTCCACGTCCCACAGTGGGATTCGAACCCTCGACGTAAGGATCGACTTATACTTCGCGACTCTATAGCAGACGCTCTAACCACTGTGCCACGCGGGTGACTTTTGTGATGAAGGTATGAGCCAAACTTAAATTCCAAAGGCACAATTCGCAGCATATCGTGAAAGATAAACAAGCTTAATTGGATAGCATATCAAAGACTATCTGTTGAGCACATAAATATTATTATGATTTCACTGCATCTTTACCCAATATTTCTAATATTTATACTTCTTTGATCATAATGATGTCCATAAAAAGAAGCCAGATGGTCGTGATTTTTTAAAATAAATTCTTTTTCTTGAAACATGCTTCTGCCAGTGAACAGAAATGACAGCTAGATTGTCAAAGATTGAGATTTCCACACATAGATATTTAGGCCATTTCAAGTTTTCTTTTGATGTTGAGCGTCGGATAATTGCTTTGAAATTATAAAATTAAAATGAAACACAATTTTAAAATGATAAATTTGAACAAATCTTTGAAACGCAATATTCTCTTTTGGCTTTTGGGATCAGCAACTCTCTCCTTTTTTATGGCGTTCCAAACATAATTTGCTTTAATAAACTAGTAGTTAAACTTAGTTACAATGTTAAAAGAATTTTTCAATGATGATGATCAGAAAATCTAGTATGATGCTTTAATTGTTGCTTTATTTCCTTACGGTTTATGTGTTTTTTTTTCCGGATAGAAAGATAGGATTTCTAATTTAGGGTGGACGCTTAACAAAGAAAAAACAATGCATGGGCTTTTGATGTTTATGTATGATTTTGGAGTGAGTACAAGGTTTTAGTGTGTTTAGTTTCAAAGAGGATTGGAGAGTAGAATAAACTGAAAATTATTATTAATAATTGATTTTTTGGGCACTTGCAAATCCAATACTTGAGAGGGAGAGAGAGAGAGAGGTCTCATTATATCCATGGTACGTTGATATCTTTCAATTTCCTTTCAGAACCTACTACAGTGTTACAAATCACGGGTAAGTGCACTCAGTTGAAATCATTTCTTTAAATCATTAAAATGAACTTACAATTCGTGAAGTTGAAAATTGAACCACCCAATATGATCTCGATATTTAATTTTTACATACTAGTATTTTATTTGACAAAAGATCTGAAAAGGAAATATAAAATAATGATTTTTTGAATCGAATTCTTGTTTTCTATGCAGTACAAAATTAAGAAAAGATTTTTTTAAAACAATAATATCTTGTGTGGCACATTAATTTCTAAACTTCTTGTCTCTCATACTAATGTTCTAAGCTTTTGTTTGTTACTTTATCAATTTACAAGCTAATTAAAGTTTTGCTAATTTTATTTATAACAGAAAATCCAGAAACCACCGCCACCACAACCATGGCTGGTAAAAATGGATGTCCTTCAAGTCACTTTCAAGACCTCTCATTGCCTCTGTGCATCCAAATATTGACATTTTTCATCCTACATGGCTATACATGTAGTTAAAACAGGTGTCTACAAAATTTTTACAGCTTAAGTAATGTTACATCTATAAAATAATACTGTGTAATCAGTAATTTTCGTGGGGGTTTAATTTTCTTGGTTTTCAAGGTATGATGAGACCCACGAAATGCAATTTTTCACATATATTACTACTGAACAACCACGGAATCAAATCCCCATGAACCAAAATATTTTTCTCAAACCTCGAGAATTTGACCCCTCGAAAATATGTGATTTTACAATAGTTCTATAAAAGCGGAATGAAATTTGCTGTCATGTTTAACACCTTGTGATCTCCCTTTTCAAAAGTCGAATTTGTTTTTTATGAGATTTGTGCAGATTTGCAATTGCTGGATGTGAATTTTCAAAAGAAGTGCGTTGTGGTTAACAAGAAGTTTTTATTTCAATTTTATGTCCAACCTATCTTATTCAAGCCAATTAGATCCAAAAAAAAGAAGTATTTTTTTAAAAATTTTCCGTTGATGTATTATGTTGTAGGAAGATATCCAGATCTCTTTCATCAACAAGGACATGTTTTAAAGGAATTTATAAAAATATACTCGTTTTCATTGCGTTTTTAACGTAAATTATATGATTTGAAATATTGGCCAGGAAAATGCCAATTTTGATGAAGAAGAATGTGTATGTACATGCAGTTTGTTTATTAAAAAGTAAAAGCGTTTTCTCGTTTTGACATCTTTTAAAATATGTATGAATTTGCACAACACTATCAAAACAGATTTCTGAAGCTTATAGCTAATGACATCTTTTAATTTATTATAAATCCGATTTCAAAATTGCGATATACAGGTTAATTTTTCAGGTAATGACTAGATGCTATGGCGTAAAAGAAGTCGAACATGAGTTATCGTTCATATATCGAGTTATCGTTCATAAGATGCGTAATACGTCATCACTAGAGACCTATTCACTCGTACATGGAATATTCCACATGTGTTAAAATAAACAGAAATAAAATAAATATTTTTTAATCATATTTATTCGATTAGTAGTTTTTATTTATTTCATATGTAATTTACAATGGGGTTATTACATGTATATATAAATTCCTATGCCGAAAATTGGAAATGTCAGTATATATAAACAATTTATCAATATAAATTAATCATCAAACATGGACTAATTATAGATAATCGTGGATTGATTTTAATGAAAAATAAAAGGAGTTGAGTTACAGTACTTGATATATTTTTTTTTCTGTATATTTATTTGTATTTCGGTAAATGCAGTTTGGTTGTTATGTGTATTGCGAATGGAGAATGCACAGGGGGGAGGGGGGGGGGGTATTACCAACTGGAGACAGGCATCTATCGTTAAATGTGGTCATGTAAGAAACGAAAACCAAAGGTGTTTAAATGCTGCCTTAAGATCCTTGCTCCAATTTTTCACTCATGGGAACACTAACAATTGCCGCTGGAAAGCTGCTCGACACCCTGGGTCATTGAGCAGTGAGGGACCTTTTTCGTGCCAGCACCAACAGCGACAGGGAGAAGTGGAGCGGTTGTTTGACAGAGTTAAGGAGCCCACAACCACACTGAAATTATTGAATTATTAAATCTTATGCATATATTGTAAAGAAAATGGGGCCCTGGTCCCCTCCACAGTGAGGGACCTTTTTCGTGCCAGCACCAACTGTGACAAGGGACCTCGGTTTATACGGTCTCATTGGAGGACCAGTCTCCACGTCCTTCAGAGGTATTCAAACCTGCAACACAAGGATTATCTCCTTAATCCGCGACTTTAAAGCAGACTTTCTTACTACTATTTCACACGGCGACGCAGATTTCAGTGGCGAATCCAGGAATCTTGAAAAGGGAAAAGGGGGGGGGGAGGTGCTGTTGGTTATCAGAGTTAAGAGTTTATCAGTGTTAAAATATACAGAAATATAATAAATATTGGTTGTTAATATTTATTCGATTGGTAAATTACATTTTATTATAAATTATTGAATTATTAAATCATATGTATATATTCAACAGAAAAGTGGGCCGGGGTGGGGGAAGGGGGGGGGGTGCACTACCTGTAAACTAATCCGCCAGTGTAATTGAATGACCATTATACTGAGGTTGTGAGATAGAAATAATTATTTTCTTATCTTAATTAGAAACTTATACCTATACAACAACCACTTGTAAGAAATCTGGTATTGTTTCACATGAATATCCATGTTAGAGATAAGACTTAATTTCTCACAAAACTCAAGTTTTTTTTTTCCCCCGAGGCATATCCTAACGCAATAGAGCAAGGGATACGTAAGTCTACAAAACCTACATTTTTCGCTATTCGGCAGTTACATGTACTACTTTTCTGGGTCTGGTATACCTGGTATTTCACACTAGGTAATTCGAGTGAATTTTTTTTTCATGTGATCCAAAGTACAAACATATCACATTGTGCTTACTTTATTAATATTTCTTCACTTAGGGCAGTGATGTTTGTATAATACTTGTTGTAAAATATGTTTTAAAAATAAAAAAAAAATTAATAAAACTAATTATAAAGTCCAAATTACTAGATTTCACTTCTTATCTAATGACCATGTATTGAAGGGCAGCCCCGCGAGAATTCCGAAGCATTTAAGTTATAATGTATAGCGACCATTTTACGTACCTAATAAATGAATGGTCTGATAGTTTAAATCTTGATAGAATTTTGAAGATGGTATCAAATAATGCTTCACTGAGAATTGTACAAAACTTTGATTTTTGTCCAATTAATTGCACCTTGAATTTTACATTAATTGAAGTTCTATGGGCTGCACATGTTTTATTTAAGATATTGTAAAAAGTTATATGATATTCAAATAAATATCTTTGTAAATATTTGAATAAACTATATCTTTATTAAGTTATATACAAAAATGACTCCTTTACCGCAGACAATTTGAGAAATAATAAATTTTCTTCTTTTCATCAAATGCAGATAACTCTTCATAAACGTTTAAGGTGGAATGTCACACCAACTTTTTATTTTATAGATCTTTGAGTCATCCTTTTTAAACAATGGTTTCAGCATGAAAGGCTGATATTAGCTCTTGATTATTTATATTACTTTTTTGGAGTTTGACCCATTTGTCATGAAAATTTTAAACTTTTACTTTGGCCATATCTTTTGAACAGTAGATGCCAAGACATTTATACTTCACATATGTAATCTTTTTGGAAAGACCTTTCATTGGATACCAACAGCCTTGATCCTTTGACGTTGACCTTGTAGATTTCCGTACTTGTGAAGAAACTTTAACCTTGGCTATAACTTTTCAACGGTAGGGGATAGAACTTTAATACTTCATATACATGATCCTTGTGAGAAGTTACTTCATTGGATACCAAGAACTTTGACCCTTTGACCTTTGAGATTGACCTACTTTAAAAAAGAAAACCTTGACCATATTTTTTAAAAGAATTATGGCTAGTGCTTTCATACTCAACATATTTAATCCTTGTAAGAAGTTACTTCATTGAATACCAAGAACATTGACCCTTTGACCTTGACGTTGGAGTTTGACAGACTTTTTAAAAAAAATAACCTTGTTCATAACTTCTGACCGGTTAGGGCTAGGGCTTTCATACTCTATATAAGAATTCTATGCGGCAAGACCTTTCATTTTTATACCAATTACATTGACATTTTGGCCTTGACCTTAGAGAAAAAAAATTTTTGTACTTTCAAATTTCACAATTGTTTTCCATTGAGAAAAAAAACTTTAACATTTGTTATAACGAAGTTGTTTTGGATACTTTAAAATTTCACAATTGTAAATTTTCCTGTGACTTGAGAATACCTTATTTTTGGTACCTATTAATTAAATTTGCATTTAAGAAAAGTTTAATCTTTACTATGTCACCATACATCAGTGTTACACAAACACATCTTGTTTATTAGGTATTCATATGATGCATTCATTTACAGCAAATTGTTTTAAAAGAAAACATCTAATTTGAATGTAAATAATCATAATCCTACATGTCATTCATTGCTGCTGATTTATTTCAGATTGAAATTATTACCATGATCTTAAAAGGGTTTTCCTACCTACCTGTAGCTTGTACTAGCTAAAAATTGGGCAAGTTCTTCTCTTTTACGGAGATTTAAAAAATAAGTATAACCTGAAGATATTTCCCAGATCTCAGAGCTTTTCTCACCTACCTGTACCTTGTACCAGATAAAAACGCGGCAAAATATTCGTCATATTCCTACCTGTGTTTCATAGATGCTGATTTATTTTATACTGACATTATTACCATGACCTTACTAGACAACTCCTTACCTGTTATGGAGATTCAAAAGATAAGTTTAACATGAAGATATGTCCCTGATATCAGAGCTTTCTCTCACCTACCTGTACCTTGTACCAGATAAGAATACGACAAAATATTCGTCATATTCTTAACTGTCATTCATAGCTGCTGATTTATTTAATGCTGAAATTCTTAGCCTGGTCTTACAAGCCAACTCCTTACCTGTTATGGAGATTCAAAAGATAAGTTTAACATGAAGATATGTCCCTGATATCAGAGCTTTCTCTCACCTACCTGTACCTTGTACCAGATAAGAATACAACAAAATACTTGTCATATTCTTACCCGTCTTTCATAGATGCTAATTTATTTAATGTTGAAATTCTTACCTAGGTCGTACTAGGAAACTCCTTACCTGTTATGAAGATTCAAAAGATAGGTTTAACATGAAGATATGTCCCTTATCTCAGAGTTTTCTCTCACCTACCTGTACCTTGTACCAGATAAGAACGCGGCAAAATATTCGTCATATTCCCACCTGTGTTTCATAGATGCTGATTTATTTTATACTGACATTATTACCATGATCTTACTAGACAACTCCTCACCTGTTATGGAGATTCAAAAGATAGGTTTAACATGAAGATATGTCCCTGATCTCAGAGCTTTCTCTCACCTACCTGTACCTTGTACCAGATTAGAATACAGTAAAATATTTGTCATATTCTTACCTGTCTTTCATAGTTGTTGATTTATTTAATGCTGAAATTCTTAGCCTGGTCTTACTAGGCAACTCCTTACCTGTTATGGAGATTCAAAAGATAAGTTTAACATGAAGATATGTCCCTGATATCAGAGCTTTCTCTCACCTACCTGTACCTTGTACCAGATAAGAATACGACAAAATATTCGTCATATTCTTAACTGTCATTCATAGTTGCTGATTTATTTTATGCTGAAATTCTTACCCTAGTCTTACTAGACAACTCCTTATCTGTTATTGAGATTCAAGAGATAAGTTTAACACGAAGGTATGTCCCTTATCTCAGAGCTTTCTCTCACCTACCTGTACCTTGTACCAGATAAGAATACAACAAAATACTTGTCATATTCTTACCCGTCTTTCATAGATGCTAATTTATTTAATGTTGAAATTCTTACCCAGGTCGTA